TGTATATGTACATGACTAAGCATAGGTATATGACTATGTATGGCTATGTATAGATACATGACTATGTATAGTCCTATTGGACTATGTTGAGAAATTTAACTCTGGTCATTCCATACAGCTGGTAAACTCTGACTGGCATCTTTTCCTGCCATGACTCCAGCATAGTCTAGTGAGGATCAGCCTGAAGGTCATTTTGGAAAAAGTCAGAGTTTGCCATCCAATCAAGGAGGCAAAAAGTCCAATGGGGCTAGCTCGGTAATTAAGAACAAAGAAAAGTTAAAAAGTTTTGTGGAGTCTCCAGGGCATCTGGTGTCAGGATAAGGCTGTGGGTAACAAGGTAGCTGTTGGACTGTGGGGATGACCATAGCGCAGTCAACTATGTGGTTGACTGTGGGATTGTCCACAGTGAACTACGTGGTTAGCCATGGGATTGAACACAGTTAACTACTGTGATGCTAAGTACTGCTTTCGTGCACGATCTTGGCCAGACGGACAACGTTGTTGGATTCATTGACCCACTCCCTGGTTTTGTTGCACAACGAGATGGCTACTTGATGATTGCTTTAGAATTCCCCCCATCAACCCTTTTCCCTTGATGATATAATTCCAAACCGGGTAGGGGGGAAGACCTATCAAATACACCTGGTGCATAAATTGCGCCCTTGGTGCTTCGAATGTCGGGCCTATGCCCACCTCTGTACCGGTTTCTCCTGCCTGAACCACCGGGTCAAACAGGCCAGAGCCACGGCTAGGCCACACATTGGCGCACCGTAGACCCAGACCATGAGGGCTGGGTTTATATCGAGGAACAGGGGGCTGAGGGAGACACGACAGTTTAGACTCCTGGCCCTAGGACCACTGGACCCCTCCACAACTGGTCACAGCAAGTCCTGTTCGCCTCCACAACTGCACTGTAGACATGGGCCATGAGGGCTGTTTTTTTGTTGAGGAACATGGGCCTGAGGGGGGCACGACAGGGGACCCCCATTTAACCTCCTGGCATCCGGACCTCTGGACCCCTCCACAACTGGTCACAGCAAGTCGGGTTTGCCTCCACAGCTGCACCGTGGACCAGGGCCATGAGGGCTGGGTTTTTATCGAGGAATAGGGGACTGAGAGGGGCATGACAGGGGACCACTTCGACCGCTGGCCGCGGGACCACTGGACCCCTCCACAACTGGTCATAGCAAGTCAGGTTCCCCTCCACAACTGGTCGCAGTGAGTCGGCCGGCCCAGCGGGCAGCAGGTCCTAGTCAGCCCAAGGAACAGAGTGCCTCCCCCCAAGCTCCTGCTGCTCTAACTAGGGCGCAGGGGCAAAAGGAGCCCTCAATGCCAACACATTAGGCAACACACTCTCTTTATAGACCAAGAGGATATGGCAACCCAAGGTGGTGACTGGGAGGCCAGAAACAGAGGGACCAAATGTGGATCTAGATCATCCTCTGGAATCATATAACTATCAAAAGTGATTGTTCATCAGAAGTATTATAATCTGAAGTTCAATACCATTGATGTCCAATCACTTTGATAGTAATTGCAGGACCTACTACCTCATCCATGGAATATAATAGAGCAAATGATGGTATTACTAGGAAAAATAGTCCAACTGATTTCTATAGTGGTTCCATGAACAATTCTCTCTGGAATTGTGTTTCTCTTATAGTGAAAATGCCATAAAACACGAACCAACATCCATAACATGAAGATCGGAATCACCATCGAGAAAAAAAAAGACATCTTGATGTAGGATAGGGGTCAGTGCAGAACACTTGCCCTCAGAACCACACGTGACAGTTTCACTGATCTCGTGGCCAGAGAGCCAGATGGGGAGCAGTCAGGCCAAAAACTGCTAGGACCCGGCCAGGAACCGAGGCAACAGTGATGAATTTCTTGAATGACGGTTTTGGCCAACAGCATGGATTTCTTTAATGACGCTTTTGGCCCCTGCCCCATGGACGTGGAAGGGGATTTCAGCCCACCCTCGGAGGTGATAACGAGGGATTTAGAGGAGAGGGAAGAAGGAAGCAAGCAGACCTCCACTCGACCAATCCCGATGGCAGACCAGCTAACAGCAGTGGTGGACTGGATGCTGTAGAACCTGCAAGTGCGGCATGCTGCAAAAAGCTTTTGGGACTCTATGTACCTGGAACTAGTCCCGGTGTTTGACAGCAGCGCGGGTTTCAGAGCTGTACTGGTTAACGGTCCACTGGAGGGCATGGACTGGCAGGAGGTGTGCCACTGGCTCCTAGCAACCGTCCTCAGATTCCTTCCCTCTCAGAGTCCGGACTCGACCCCCCAAGCGGGCCCCGGTGATCAGGGAGAAATGGTACCCCAGCAAGGAATGGGACCCTGGCAGGACAATCAGAGCCCGGTAACGACTGAGACAGTGGAACAGTGCCAGAGTCCTGCCCCCCATTCTCCAAACCACGGGCAACAATCTCAGGCAGGAGCGACCCAGGCCCAGGACTGCGACAGGGTTCACTTCCTATACCCGGCTCAGAATGATAAAGTATCAGCGCTTGATACCCCTGGGCAGCTCCCAGCAGGCTATGCAGATAGAGAGGGCCCAAACCCAGAATATCACAGCAGCGTCTCCCCCCCAGATTCCTCCCAGACCCCGGGTGGAACAACAGGCACATCTCGGGCACCCCCCAGCGGGGAATGCATCCCCTGATAGCAACAGATGAGGTTCTGCCCGTCCGATTGCCCCCTGAATAAATGAACAGGCCCGGGAAGTAGCCGGCTCTGCCCATCCCGTTGCCCCCTGAAATGCTGGAGCAGGCCCCGCCAGCTCCAGACCATCGTGATGGGGAACTAGTCCGTAAGCGCCAGAAGCTCTGACATGTGCTAGAGAAGTGGAGGGAATTTGGGGCCTTATCCAAGAGGGGCATTCTGGTCCCCCCAGTTAGAAAATGGGAGGACAGGTGGGAACTGGGGCTCTCCATCCTATCTCAGGCTAACCGCGGGGAGGTTACCCTGAAAGGTTTACCTCCTGCAGGCTAGAGAAGAAGACGAAATGGGGCTCCCAGATACTATGATAGAAACTTAAGCAGCCTGTTTTGGTCTGAGTCTGACATCTACACTTTCTTAACCACGATCCTGCGGTCAGGTCTTTTACTTGGAGCGGGTGGGGCTTGGACAACAGAAAATGGGTCCGGCTGTGAAGAAAAAGTGGGGGGGGGATAAAAGGTTTTAGAAATGGAGGATGGATAAGAGCTCGAGTAAATGCAGGAGGGAGGTGGACCTCGATCTCAGGTCTTTGAATGTCAATGGCCTTGCGACTGCGAGACCAGCTAACTTCAGGCCATCTGGGATCAGCTCCGAGGTGTTGGGGGGAAGGAATGGCCAGGCGTTGTCTGCGGTCAAGAGCCACAATGCTGGACACCCAGGAGCGAATCGGGCACACCAAAGGGCCTGGCCGTTCCAGGCTTTTAAGTTTCATGGACCGCAACCGGGGAGCGCGGGGGTGTGGGAACCTGGCTACCCCTAGGGTCTTGTGTGCAGCCAATGGCTTGAGCTACCGGCACAGATGAAGGTAGATAGGTCTCAATCTTGGCAATGCTAGAATTGGAGGTGGCTAGCATAGCGTGTGTGGATGCACCTAATGACCCAGGTTCGAGGGGCCTTTTATATGACAAGCTAAAAGTGCAGATTCCATAAGGTATTCGAGCTATTATGGTGGGGGGCTTCAATGGCTAGACCAGTGGCGCATCCCCTTCCCTGTGCCAGCGCAGAGCGAAGAAGATGAAAAGACAATAAGTGACCTATGCTTTTCGCTGAACCTTTATGGCACCTTTCGCCGCGCCTACCCCACTAGACGGTCGCTCCATTGTGAGGATTGACTTTATCCTCATAGGAGGCCCTGGAAGGGGTGCTGCAATTCTCTGAGGTTCTCCCCACAGCCTGCTGCCCTGCTCCCTGGAATGAACCATGCGATGTGCGCAATGATTCTTACGTTCCGCAAGAATCCGGACCAGGGTCCAGGCTACTACAAATTGAACATGTCCCTTCTCCCTGTGCCCAACTTCCAAGAGTTTATCAGGGTGTTTTGGGTCTTCAGGTAGTCACAGAAAGAAACCATAGGTAACTTGGTCGTATGGTTTAACAATGCCCTTTCCTTTTTCAGCACGAAAGTGCAACGAGTTCTCAAAGTCACTGGCAGCGAAAAGGTATTCGCAAGAGATACAGCTCCACCAAGAACTTCAGAGCCTTACCAATCAGGCCATTCAAACAGTCTTTGAACAACT